ATATCTATATATATCTATATATACACACACTTTGCTTTGTTTCCGGGTCCATGAAGACGCGGAGATGCCGCGGCACTGCGAAGGGCGGCTCCAAGCGCAGAGCACGAAGGGGCCCTGGAAAGCAGGCAGGCGGAGGCGGAGGCGGCCGAGGGGAGCCTTCGGGGTTTAGGGTTTGTTAGGGTTTAGTTCGGGCCATTTGGGGGTTCCCAAAAATAGGGGACCCTAATCTAGTACCCCAAATAGTAGGATCCCGATTATAAGGACCCCAAAATAAGGTCCCCCTGGAAACCTCCATTTCGGGGCCCGCAACCCGGGCCTTGAGGCCCACGTTCGGTTCTGAGATCGCCGATGTCCCAGTCACGAGTCCTTGAATTTCAAAAGCCTAAAACTTTGTTTTTGCCATGTCTGATAGAGCAAAACAAGTGGCTCATCCCATGTTACCATGTTGTGACACGTACCAGCAATTGGAGCTGGGAGCTGGCTGTCGACAACTCACATCAGCTCACAGTTGGGTTTGCGATGTTAAGTCCTGGAGCTCTGGATTGGCAGTAGTCGTGTTGCATGACATGGACTCGGAATCCAGACATTTACAGTAAAATACAGCCGATTGGCAGGTGTCGTTTGCTGACGCGAATTTGAATCCTCGCTGACGGTGATAATACACATGCATGATGACCTACTGGGCTGGCCAAGAGCCGAAGCGACAGTCTGAGTACAGCTAGCTTAAGCAAGCGTTTGCTGGGGAGGCATTGTTGACATGAACTTTGCTTATCCGCCATGGTTCTCAAAATGCCACATAGCAGTGCGTGAAATCTTTGTGTGGTCCGTCACTCGCGGATCCACAACAATTGCGTCGGCAGCATCTGCATTTACCAGAAGCCATGACAGGTCGCCCTTTCCTGTACAGTCGAGCGCAGATGCTAGCAGTGGAGGAACTTCATGTTGGCTCGCGTGACCATGCGCTCATGAGAACAGACTCGCCAGTCGCTTACAATCCGTGCGCAATGGTTAGAAACAGCACAGAACACACCAAAGACGGCTGATGAGAATGGCACAAGCTAGCATGCAAAAACACCCGTGGTTTTCCAAATCTGACCTCCGGCCATGTCCAAGACAGGTCCGCTGCGAAGCTCCTCTTCGAAAGTCCGCACCACGAAATCCCGGAAGGCAAAAACGCGGTCGCGCTGCGGGACGGTTGCCTTAAGGAGGCTTTAAGGAGGATGCGCGACGATCGTACCACGTGTCCAGCTGAATCTGACTAAGCAAGCCTGCAGTTGCTAAAATCGGTGCGACTGCTTCAAGGAATGACTGCAGCGCACTTCAACAGATGCTTTCGAGAGACCATCCTCGCAGCAGCTGCCGGTGCTCATGGCGCGCCCAAAAACGTATCGAGTTGAGCTAGGGCTCTGCGGAAAATCTCGGCAACTGCCAACTTAAGTGAACTTCATTGTCACCTCAGCATCTTCGAGGATGGTCGGATCCAGTAGAGCGTCAACCCATCAAGATTCGAGGCTTGAGCAGTGGTGAAAGCTGCAGGTCAGGGTCCCTCTTTACTCAACGCCAGAGGCAAATCCGATGGATTCTGTGGTCATACCTGTCATACCTCGGGCCTACAGGACGAGCTGCTATCGAGTCAATTTTGAAAGCAGCTTCTATAGGTCGTGGGCAGCACTGTTCCGAGCTGGGGGGCGCGAAGACAGGGATGGAGGGGGGAGGGAAGGGAGGGAGGGGGAAGAGAGAGAGAGAGACAGACACGTCCACACACGCGCACAGACACACACACACACACACACCCCTGCAAATTAACATAATTAACGATGGCTCGATTCCTGCATCCCTTAGAAGAATTACAAAGCCTGTCGTGGGCAGAAGATGCCAAGGCCTGACTCATAGCGACACGCCCCAAGCGGCGACCCGGGTATATAGCAACTAACATAGCTTTTGACTCTTTTGACACGGCACTGAGCAGTTCCAAACCCTCGTCCGACTCTGGGGCGAAAAACTGAAACACCTAAGACCGATTAATGTGAACTGCCGAGCTCTCAAGCATGACAGCACACAAACAAGCACCTGCTCCATGAAGACCATGCCACAACGTGACACCGTGGCCGGTGAGGCAGCGGATAAGTCCTCGCGACTGATGCTTTGTGGCCTTCGGAGTGTCGCGGCTTCGGCTCGGCAGCTGTGAGCAATCAGTTTATTTCTAGCCCTCACCCTCTGTACAGCTTGGCGGGATCCCAAAGCCAAGTCAGCATGAGCACCTTCGCGAACAAGATTGAACAGGAAAGACCGAAGTGCGCAGCAGGGATGAAAGCGCCACTGAGACTGAAACTTGCTTTCTGCTCACGACCTTGTCGTCTTGAGTAGAACTCTAGCGTTGATGTGTCCTCCACCTCGAACATCATCGTGGTCACCTAGGTCCCAAAAGATCTGGCAAAAGCTTGGCACCCGGAGCGCCCTTGCTTCCTTGATCGACAAACACGTCCCCGACCTTCAAAACCACAACCTCAACCGAAGGCCAAGCTCTGAGAACGCGCGCCGGGCTCAGCTTGATAATCTCGCCGCTGTTGAGGCAGAGCTTCTTGTTGTCCTGGCTCCGCAAGGAGGACCAATTCTTCAACAACGGGAATGACACTCACCATCCAAAGTCTTCCCGACTGCACGTACCCCAAGTCCGTATGCCCGAAGCAGGCCGAAGGCACATCGAGGACCGTGTTCATGTTCTCGATCCACACAGCATCCACGGGCCCATCCTGTGCAAGCTCTTTTTGTAAAAGCCCCGGAGCCGTGCGTGTGCCTTCTTCCTATATTTGGCTTGCCCAGACTTCCAGACTCGCGGCTCTAGAGCTCTGGCCGGTGCACCGAAGGAAACGGCCGAGATTCGCATGTGAGCCATCCTCTAGCTTCCGAAGCCCAGGACTCACGAAGCCACGGACACGACATGCACTGGGCTTGCTACCAGCATGATCCACTGACGGTGGCTCGGATCGGCGTTGGCGGTATAGCGGACCTCTGGGCTCGTCAGGGTTATGTCCAAAGAGTCGTGGAGGGGCGGTGAAAGGTGGGCAGAAGTTCCCACTCTGTAACCTCCATCCTAAGGGAGCAGCACCAGGCAATACAACTCCATTCCGACACCTATTTTGACCCCCATTGCAACCCTGTGCCGCAGGCACTGTCACGAACCTGCTGAGTCTAGTCAAAAGCCATACATGCCAGACCCGACCCCCACCGCAAACAGTCTGCCAAGGGGCTGTCAGCGCCAGAATTCCATCCGTCCACTCGTGGGTGTTCTCATCGAAATCGCCGTACAACTGGCCCTGCTTGATAGACCTGGACAGCGCAGCCAGTTCAAAACAAAGTATGAGTGGCAGGAGTCGGCAGCCACGGGCCAGAGAGCACCCTGGGTGTGCAACAAGAAGCGCTTGTAGGATGCAACCTGCACTTACACCTGCAACAGCAGACCTCAAGGTACGACTTCCTATAGCGCCACTTTCTAACTAAGTTACTTGGTTACTTGTAGACTAGACTCAGAGGACTCAGCCGTAGCAGCCGTCGCCTTGAGTGCGGAACTTGGCTACAATGGTTCATCCCGGCCCGCAGGCTGCAGCATTGCAGGCATGGGCATCCCGCTTTGGATTGATCTTGTGGATCTGGCACGGCAGGTAGAGGTCACCTGCGGGTCCGCGGGAGACTGGAGATCCAGCACAACCGAGACCTTTCTGCAAGCCCAGAGAATGCCGGCGACTTCAACGCTGTGAGGGAAGCCAAGAAGCAGAAGCTCCACAGAGTACCAATTGGGGTTTTGCTGTTTGGATTCCCAGGGAAAAAGCCTCTGGCGAGTTCAATCTCAAAACGAACTGTGCTGGGATGGGAGCGGCTCAACACAGCACCGACCCTACGGCAAGCCATGGCTCAACGTGGCAACCCCTTGAAAAGCTTACAGATTGGCGACGGCTTTCGTTAAGGATCCTGAAGGCCTACGACTCCTACAGTACTCAATTTAGGGTTTAGGGTTTAGGGTTTAGGGTTTAGGAGTTTAGGGTTTAAAGGAACACAAGCAGGCCAACAGCAACACGGGCACCGTCCGCCACAGCTGCCAAGGCAGCCGCAAGAACATTCTCCACCTGTGCAGGAATCTCTTAGGCGGAAGTTTAGTTACTTGCGGCACCGCAGTAACGGGCCAATTCATGCAGCTTACGGTCATGTCTGCAAGCGTGCGGCATGGCAACTTGCTCCTGCCCGGGAACAGCCCGGGAAGCGAGGGAAACGAAGGACAAAAAAAAACAATCAGGCCTCGGCGCAGTTTCTCGGTGTTCAGGTTTAAAGTTTATCTTCAGAGTCTTTTCGGAAGCACACTTTTACAAGATCATCGATGCAGGCCATACCACAAACAAGGAATGATTGCACTGCCAAGCACTGCCCCCAAAGGTAACACCAACGAATCCCTTTTTTTGAACCCAGGCTCTTGGCTATCAGCTGGGCAGCATACCAACGAACCCCTAAACCCTAAACCCTGAACCCTAAAGCGCGTGGCCCGGCTCTGCAATTCCACTAGCGAGGCCTCGGACTTGCCGGACACGTTCATGCCTTGGCAATGGGGGAGTTTCCGAAAATACCGGGGTACCTTATTTTGAAGTCCTTATAATAAGGATCCTACTATTTAGGGTACTATAGAAGGGTACTATATTCGGGTCTTCGATTTTCGGAAACCCCCAGGTCTGACAAATCACGGTCCAACCCATCGGTCTCTTTCGCTCTCTCTCTCTCTCTCTCTCTGAAGGAAATCTACCTTTCGAGGTCCTTGGCGTCCAGCTGCAGGTCAACAAATTTCTGAGCTCACCACCCACAATCATCAGCCCGTGCCTGCTCCAAAACTAACGCCGCTGCGAAGGGGTTGTCGCTTCCACTCGGCAGGCCAAAAGGATACAGTATACAAACGCAATTTCTGGCACGGTCAGGATGAGAACGAATAGAGACATGCGAGGGGAGAACGCATGCTAAAGTGCGGAGGTTTCAGGCTTCAGCGCTCCACCAAAGCCCGGCCTCACCATGATGGTTTCCCACAGCTGGGTGCACTTGTGGATGAAGGAGGCCTGAACATGCATCCACCGGTCACTGGGTGAGAGAAGTCGGTGGGGCTGGATTAAGATAACAGATGAACTAGGCAGATATCTCACTTCATCAAGCACTTTCTACTTGTCGCCGAATCGATAATCTCTTGCACAGCCTCTCGTCTGCAATAATCAGGCCCCCGCAAAACTTAAACTTCTTCGTGAAGACCCGTTTCGAAACCCACAAATTTACAGTCCTCCCCCTTGAGGATGCAAGCAGGCTCTCGAATCTTGAAAATTTTCGACTGGCCTTGGGCTGCAGATGCCGCGCACGGGCAGCACCTCAGTTGACCCGGGCCGCAGCTAACGAAGGAGGCTGCGGAGCCCCCCGAGCCTTCCAACTCGTTGATGAGCTTGCCGTAGTCTGACGGTGGAAGCCTCGGTTACTTAAAGGATCATGGGATTTAGGACTTAGTAAGTAGGGTTATAATTAGGGTAACTATACTTATAACCCTAATTAAGGGACTTATAACCTTACTTACTAAGTCCCATGATCCTCCAAGTAAGACGAAACCGAGCTTCAATTAACCAAGGATGCCCAAGACTACTCTTTGCTACACTGGGCCGCGGACTTCACGCCTGGGAAGAGGTCGCCGGTGATTCCCAAGAATAGCGGGATGTCCTGCACTCTTCGGTTGCTGGTCTTATAAGGTCCCAATCCGCAGCATATCGCCGCATCGTGGTGTTCTCATTTGCGCCCCTCATCCACTTCACCAATTCCTGCCCTGACTGCAGAGTGTCACGCAGCTCTGTATCCAGTGCAGGCGAGTCGCATTGGAAGTGAACTTGGGCAGGTTCACGTCCTTGCCGAGGGTTGAGACATTGAGAAGTGTTTGAGACGGGCTGCAAACAGTCAGAGGGCCTCCTACAAGTAGGGTACGTGCCAGTGATGTGTAATCGTGTTCAAGAGGGAATACATTCGCTCAGTACTCGGGGTCATGATTCGAAGTGCCATGCCGCTTGTAGGTGCACGCATCTCCGAGCGTCGGGACACATTTTACTACAAAACCGCTTGTTCGCTACCTCGTGGAATCAATGAATACCCATGCACGAAGCCAGGGAAGACTGCGGGAAGCAATTATAGAAGTAGTTGTCCAAGGCAAGTGCTGGGACTGAGTAGGTACTCCAGGTCAAAGAACGAAACAGATGGTTCTCGAGACGCAGCTTTTAAGCCTGTAAAGCAAACATGAAGCCAACATCATGGGAGTTTGACTCTTGGGTTGTACTCTCATGCCAGAGTGGAATTCGGGGAGGAGGGTAGCGGGAACGGGGAGAAGAAGCACCTCAAGCAGAGGCTGCAGCATCCAGCTTGAACATCCCTGAGATTGAGTAGGACTGAGTAGGTCTGTCTCACTTGGCAATCTACAGTTGTTCTCTGAATCAAATTGACCATACAAGAACGGACGTTCAACGGAATTTGGCTGCCAAGTGCGGGACGTTCAGAGCCGACAACATCAAGATGTCTTCCGCCCGGGTGCTGCCAAACCTTTAACGGAGAGGGCCGCTGCTGCCATTCCAATCTTCCAAGACTAAATCGAACGTAATCTCTGAGCTTGTTCTTCTGTCGCAGCCTTCCCCCCTGCATAAAGAAATCCTGGCCCCGCACTTTTTGCGAAGTTGACCAGCCGCCACGAGGATTGACCTCACAGCTTCCCCCCGAGGCGGCATGCGACAAAGTTGACAGCCGAAGACGGAACAGCAACAGCATCATCAACAGCATCAGCAACAGCAACGACAGCGACGGCAACAGCAGAGCAAAACGACAACAACCACAACCCCAACCACTGCATGCACGCACGCACACACACGCACACAGAGGTAGGATCACACAAGTGCATAAACGCGTATGTGTGTGTACGTGTGTAATTCTGTGTATGTATATATATATATATATATATATATAGGCATATCTCCGTATGCATATAAACATGCCTCTCCCTCGAACCTGGAAGCTGCACGTGAACCAATTCAGTTTAAGCATGTTGGACTCCGGTGTTCGACCTGAGATGCGGGCTTAAGCGCACGCATGCCAAAGTCGTAGTGGTCCTCCAATTGCGCAGGATTTGGAGGGCAGGTGCGGCATGTGCTGGAAAAGCATGTGGTGAACAGTTACACTAGGGGTTGGAACAGCTTCAACATGTGGAGAAGAAAGCTTTTTGCCCCCAGTCCTTCGGTAACTTTGGATCTGATACAGCACGGCTCTGCTCATGCACATGCCAAAACCCTGAATCCATAATGCAGACCTCTGGTGGCCATGAGGCAACAGGAAGTGGAGAGCCTGGGAGGAGAGCTGCTCGGAGCCGAGTCGAAGCGAAGCCACTGCCTTGCGATGCTTTGTTGCACATGGCCCCAGTTCATCTTACAGGCCGCTAGTCAGCTAGTCCGTCATAGAATGCGCCTACCAGAGAGATCCATAATCAACGCCCTTCCACAAGTCCGCAACGGCTCCTGCAACCCGAGAACATCAAAGCCACGGAGGCGGATTCCCAAAGCCCCACGCCTTGGCCGCCAGAGGCTTGGCATTCCCGAAGCCCACCTCCGAAAGAGAGGCTGAGTAAAGCGGCCATGCCAGGAGATGTGAGGCTAGTGGCGGTGGGTACCCGCCCAGCTGACTATGGCGGTGGGTTTCGACTCTCACTCTCGCACGCAGCAGGGAAGGGCGCGGTGGGTTTAGGGTTCCTAGGGTTTTGCTTTCCCTTCTTCTGTCCTCTCCCAGCTGCTGCAGCTGGAGCTAAGGTCCCGGGCCGAGTAAAGCACAATCTCCCCAATCAGGGCATAATCCGGCACCATCATAGCCTGTGACCCGCCAACATGGAACCAGCTCCGAAGTTTCCGGTTGCGGGTTAAACAGAACGGAGCAGTCCGGCTCAAATCCTTCCTGATTGGCAGCATGGAATTGCGTCAGGCATCGTTGTGTGGCTTTAGAAAAAAGGCCCAAGCCCTAGTCTGAACAGCGGCGGAGGACGTAGGATCTTTCTGGACTTCCCAAGATCTGGGTTTAGGGCTTATAGGGTTTAGGGTTCCCAAGACTGAACACAACTGACAGGACCTGGACATTCAGCCTTGGAAACGTATATACTGGGTGCCGTCTAGGTCGTCCCTTGAGCTGCCACGCCGTCCCTGCAATCCTGCATTTCTATCTTACTTCCCTGCCACCATCCCGATTGTCAGCACTAAGGTTCTGAGTGGATCTGCGATGGGGCCCTTTCCAAACACGACAGCCAGAAGATCTGACCAAATGACTTGAGGAGGTACGCAGGCCACATACTTTGTAGTGACCGCTGAGCGCGCTGCACAGGGGCGGAAGAGAGCCTGTGTGACGTGGGATGCTTCACGACGGGAGTGCTCCACTTGACACAGGGTTACCAGAACACCTTCTGAAGTCTTGACGTATAGGTATATGACTCTGCACCCTCCGCAGACCAAGTCTTCAACCCACTTGGAAGGTACATGCAGGACTTTCGGTTCAACGCAGCACTCCGTGCAAACATCAGTGGTTTCTTCGCTCAGGTATAGAAAAGGACGGGCTGTTGCAAATTGTTAGCCAGTTCGGCTACCCAGTTCCAAACTATGTCAAACTGCACAAACTGCCGGACCAACGTTGGGCACCATGTATACCATAGGCTTTTGCAAACATCAGAAGGTTGCGGTGGGGAGTTGCGCAAACTAGCCGATGGGCTCATCCCTTATCTCTGCCGTTTCTCCACTTGCTTTCGCCAAGAGTCTCACTGATGTGGCGACGTGCAATCAAATGCGCTTCCGTCTGAGACTGGCATCAGCTTGGCCGATGCGATAAACTGATCACTGGTATTACTTTCTCTCTGCAGGGCGATCTAGCAAGAGTCAAGAGGCCGGGCCAGTCTCCGCCTATGAAAGTCAAGTCTCATTCGATGGAAAGACCTTGGGCTAAAACTTTCTTGGACATCGCTCCGTGTGTGCACCTCGCCAGCTCAGCTTCCTCGGGTTCAGAAAGGCATGATTTCAAGAGTCACAAACCTTTCTCCAGCCCTGTCCCTGACCTCATCGGACTGCGAGCGAGGTTCGTATGGCTGAAGGAACTTCTGGCGGTGCTTCTCCACATTGCCTTCCAGGATGCCCTTAAAAGGTTAGTGCAGGCCCAGGAAGCATAGCACCCCCAAGCCGACGCCTTGGTCCAACCACGGATTCTGATGAGAGGCCATGGCTGCAGCGTACATGTCAATGCCCTCCTGCGGCCAGCTGCATGTAGCAATTCGACGCTTTGGGTCCACGGATCGGGTCTTAAGTTTCATCAGCCATGGCTGAGACTTGAGGCTGTGCCCATGCAAGACATGCCGGCGGGTCCTGGATCTTGGCTGCCAGAGTGTCAACTGAGTCGGTGTAGACCTTGGTAGTTTCGCGCATCACGGCCCATGCGTTCCGAAGATTCGTGGCATCTCTCCAGCTTTTCGTGGGGAGTTCATGAGGGTAGCCTGGAGGATCGAAGAACTTCTGCGATTCGGTCTCACTCAGAAACAAAGCTGACAAAGCCTGAGAAAAAAAGCCCAATGCTGAAGGGCCTCCTCCTTCCCACTGCAGCAGAAGGCACGTTATTGTTGTTGTTGAAGCTCATGGTACCACATGCCTCGCAAGAGCACATGCATGGGCCAAGCGCGTAAGCTGTACAAAAATCTTTGTGGTATGGCACCGAGCAAACGAGGCAGGGCAAGGCCACGAACGCAAACCGGTTGGGACAAGCCAGAAACCAGGCATCCGCCCATAGCAACAAGCGTCACTCAGCCGTCCAGAGCGAACCTCGCCATAGCTTAAGTCAGATTGAATCTCAACGCCAATTAAGGCTCTTGGAAACCCTGATGGAAAGACTCTAGATCCGAAGCACAATAACCCAAGATCCACAGGGCCACAACACCGTCACAAGCCAAAGTGCCAGCTTCAAGCGACGAAGCTCGAACTGCAGGATCAACAGTCCTCGAGGGTTTGCCAGCCAGCATCTCCAAGGTGTAAGTGTATGATTCAAGGGGATTTGGGAAGCATCTTGCTTTTTCTGTACCCCTAGGTTTGAGGGCAGTGCCCTCACTCAAGAATGCGCGAAGCGAAACACTGAGACAGCCATGTCACAGAAAGCGGGTGCTCTGAATCCATGGAAAGGTTTCATGCTCAGACAAACAATATCTTAGAGCTTTACAGTACAGTTCCGAGGGTGAACAAAAATCGCCAAAGCGTCGGCCACAAGCTTCGACAGCACGGTGGTTGTGTTCCATTTTCTTTGGAACGGCATTGATGGTGCCTTCCCGCTAGAAGTAACCACTGTCTTCCATGCTGCAACCCGCGCGCTTACACAAAACGCTCGCAAGTAATTACCATGCCTGACATGCACTTGGTGCTGTTGCTGCTACTACTACGACTGCTGTTGTTGCTTCTGTTGTCAGTGCTGGTGCTGGTGCTGGGACTGCGCAGGTCGTGGTGGTAAGGGCGGCAGCGGTGGTGGTGGTGGTGGTGGTGGTGGTGGTGGTGGTGGTGGTGGTCGCGGTGGTAGCGGTAGTGGCAATATAGAAGCGGTTGCTGCAGCAGTACAGTAGTGGTCGGAGGCGGAGGAGCAGCAGTAGGACCAGGAGGTGTAGCTGTCGAGACTGCGCGTAGAACAGCGGCAGTAGCCCTTGCTGAGGCGTGACTGCGGCTGCTTGCAGCTGAGGCAGGAGAGTTCTTACAATAGCTGCTGCAGGCAAGTTTCGGCTACGACCGTTGCGGTCTGGAAGTGGATGCAGATATGCCAAATTTTTCCTCGGACTTGCAAGGCTCAGCTCGCCAAACGCACGATGGTTCATACAAGGCCGCTCCCCGGGCATAGTTTGGCTTCATTTTGCTGGAGGTGTGGGTTCAAGTGTTTTGGGATAGACGGCCTGAGGTTGTTTCGAAGCTGCAGACCAGCATTCGCACTCCGGCTGCATCAACAGTATGAGTCTGAGTGTCAAGCGTGGAGGTTCTGGTGACTGGACTGTGCGCGAGATACTCAGCTGCAACACTTCATGAGGCCGTTGGCACCATCGCCAGCATGAGATCTCAGCTAGACATATACTGCCTGGGCGGCTATGCTAGCCGCCGTCCGTCTTTGCGTTGTCTGAGTCCGAGTCAAGCAGTATTCGAAGAGCAAGAAATGGGTAAACCCCTGCCCGTACCACTGCACGCCGACAGTAGCCATCCGGCATTAGCTCTTGACCCGGCATTCACCGGCTTTGCAGTGACCGGAAGACCCCGCGCACTTGGCCCTTGGCCACTGCAGCCGCGGCTCATGAGGGAGGCCAAAGCACGGAGACGGCCCGTAGTCGTGGAGGCTTTGTCTAAGGTCTCGTGATAGCTTTGAAAAAGCTTCCTGAGACTGGCGACTCGGGGCTTGACGTGCTGTGTTTGCTTCACTCAGAAAAAAGCCTCCAAGACTCTACGTACGAGGTGGAGGCACCGTACCACACAGAAAGATGAAAGATGATCGACAAACGTCGTTCTCTTCGGCCTTTGATTCAAGATGGAGCCTGACAGCAATCCTCAACTCCCCAGCATCCGAAAAAGATGCTTTTCGTAAACATCCTGGACAGAGGCTGGTCGCTAGCCTGCAAGCAAAACCATACCATTTCGCAAACAAGTCTCTTCATGGTGGCTTGGACAGGGAGTTTTATGGCACGGCAGGGCTTCCCATTGGGAATACATCGGCTGTCATACAGGTCCTCCATGTCTGTGGCGAACATGCCGGCGAGGGCATCCGCAGGCACGGAGGATCTGATGCACGAATAGGCCTCGTAGCTGGGCTTTGACAAAAAACCAGGCCAAAAATTCCCTACTTTATGGTTCTACAATTCTACAAATTCCCCTTCTTCTTAAGATCCGTCCGCAACCATGCTAGTAGAGTACTACTATAGTGATACCACACTACTACAGCAGAGCTCGGCTAGACGACGCATGCACCGGAGTCTCATCTGTACTAGCATGGAAGAACCGTCCTGAGAAAGTACGAACAGTGACTCCGCTATGGATTTCATCCATGGTTGAGCATTGAACCATGGCATGGCTTAGAGTAGCTTCAGGTTGACTGTAAGCCTTTCGCCACGGTCTTGCGGCTTGTGTGTCTCCTTGGCCGATAATAAGCCACCGAAACCCCGAAAGCTCACATAACATATCATGTCGGAGTCATGCCGCCTTCCGGAAATCCCTCCCAGGTAACTTCGCCATCTCGAAAAGCCCAGCATAGGTGTCGAAAAAAGGCCTCAGTACGTGCTCGCACAATCTCAGGTGAGATGTCTTCACAGATATGACTCCAGGTCTGAGGGACCTGGTGTAAGGCACGGAAGGCGTGAAATCGCGTTCAAGATTGACAGTGCATGCTGACATGTGCGCAGTCTGGCTGAACTGTGCCGCGCGTGCCTGTCGTTGGTTCGTTTGAAATGGCCACGGGCCACGGGGCCTCACAGTCTGTATAAACGCACTGGACCCTGTCCTGTTGCCGGCATCTGCTCGTCATGTCGAGCATGCGGCGCACAGAACGACATCGAATGAATCTAATGACGTAGGCTTACAGGCTCAATGCCCAAGTCTTTCACATCTCATCCATGTGTTCGCACCGAGGCACATCCCGAGGGATTTTTGAATGACCTGGAAATCGGCAAAACCAATCGGCTCATCGTGGCGGTTCCTCTGAAGATCATAGACGACCTGGCACAGGTGCCCAGGACATGGCTCCTATGGGCTATGGAACAGGAGGGACATGTTGCAAAGGCCCCTTTGCACAGAGGTTTCTAGGCAGGGTCGAGTGTCATGACCAAGCACCAACACATATCCAGCAACTCGACCCAGACATCCGAATGCAGGCACGACCTTCACCTATTGCAAATTACTTTGCGATTCCCCAAACAGAACACTCAGGCGGCTTCAATCACAAGACACTTTTTCCGTCACCTCATCCGATTCAGACGGTTTCGTGAAGGAACATGCAGCAAGTCCACCTTCAAGCTGTCCATCATGTTCTGCGTGTAAGCCTTGGGTTTCTACATTCTCTGGGACAAATTTTCAGACTGTGCAGAACAATGGATCGGAGCCACGCTTTAGTGCAGATACTGTCAAGGGCCGCCACAACCAGTACCGAGGGGCTGATCCATAGGCCTTCGAACCTTCAGAAGCATTCTTCCCGTCGATGAAAATACCTTGACGGAGCCACATGATTGACGCGGCTCGGTTGGGAGTTGAACAATTGGATTCCAATTGTTCAGGAACGGAAGGAAGGAGACATTCGAATCACCTGCTGTGTTGTTACCGCGGGGGCTCACGTGCCTGATCAACACTTTGACTCATGGCTTCACGCCCACAGCAGCAGAGCTGCCCCATGCCGGCGCGTCCAATGCGTCCGAGCAGTCAGATGCGAGAAGGAGTGTTGATGCTTCCAGAACGAACGCCGGGACCAGCAGTGCCCAAGCTACAGTTTTCATAACGGATGGTGGGAGCCAGAGCGGCTTGTGTAAGGCGAGAGCATCGACAAAGCCTGCACTTCACTTTCTGCCCAGGCTAGCAAGCGCCTGGATACTGTAGCAATCGGGACCCAGGCTCTGGCCCCATCAGCCCACAAAAAATGCAGACTCCATCGAATCGAATGCCCAAAAGGAACAACTTCAGAAAGCCTTCCCTCGACTGGCAGCGTGCACTGTTACCGTGTAGCGGATCTGGAGTCCTCACCAGATACTCAAGACTCGCTCACTCCCCGCTGCCGATTCTGACATCCACATCCCAAGAGAATATAGCTGCAGATACAAGTTCAGTTCAGGTCCGCAAACCGGTTTGCGCGGAGGCTTCGAAACGCAAAGCAGACATCAAACGTCGGATTCCTCGCGAGTCTTCCTCAAGCTTATAAGCTTAGCCCTCAGTATCCTGATTCCTGCAGAGACTTGCGCCTTCAGGTTGTCGGGCAACTCAGAACGTCCTGCGTAGCCAGGATTCCTTGTGGCGGAAGGACTGCCACAAGTGTGGCTCGAAAAGCTTCGATAAGGTAGACACATTACCTACTCTAAGAGGTTAGAGGCGTTAATTGATGCAATCTTCGATGTCTGAGCTCGCGTGATGACGGCTCCGAACATTCATCTGTGGCCCTTGCATGGTGATGTTGACGGCACAGGTTGGAATCAACTCCAGCTCCGTCTCTTCGAAGATGAAGCGGCGCTGCACAGGAGAGGAAGCTTCGGAGGTTTGGGCACTGCCAAAGAGACCAATTTTGAAGCTTCGACGAGCTGCGTCACAATGGGCCGCTCCCGTACAGTCGGAAGTACCCAGCCAGGAAACAGCTTGAGGCTCCGAGAAACCTCTTGCGCCCTGAAGCCGAAAACGCCACGGCAAACGAGCCCACCTTCTTCATGCGGATGGCTTCCTGGATGCAGGCCACCTGGCGATCTTAAAATTAAGGAAATCCTAGAGTTGCAACTTCACCATGCGTTCGCACTGCACCTCCTTCCACGGTTCAAGAGTGCCACAAGGATTCCCTGCCATTTGGTCCCTGCCGAACCCTGTCGTCCGAAAAGATTGGAAGCCAGAAGGAGCCTCTCAGGCAGCTGGGGTTGGGGTTACCTCATATGATCTCCATTATCATGCCCGAATGCGTACTAGAAAAACACTTGAAAACACCAAGACTGCTTTTGAGTTCCTGTGGCAGAACCACTGGCAGGCCTGCTGCGCGATGACAGACAAGACCTCCAAATCGATGCGGTTGAACCTTGTCTTCTGGCGACCGGCTGATATCCGGAACATGCAACCAAACGCTAATTACTGCACCCAGGTGTAACTTTCGGAACTGTCCAGGCTGGACTTATGATATCGGCGCCACATAGGACACAGGCTCGCCCAGTCTCAGGCGAGAGACTTCTTCCCAAGCATGGGATCTGACATGACCACGAGCTTAACTTAAGTGCGCCGGCCTCGCCAAGGACTCGAACACAGCATTGGCTTGAACAGTCTCCAGCATCGTTCGGGGCAGCAACTCCTAAAGCCCCACGCTCCCAGGCGATGCTTGGGAGAATGTGAGGGCTTAAATCGCCTCAGTGAGTTGAATGTGAACTTGATATTGAGGCTGAAGGGGTCCAGAGCTTTCGGATGGAGCGCAGCCCAAGTGGGACCTAATCCAAAGCTTAGATGGTCTACCCCAGCTTGCTTATCTGTGGGTTCAGTGATGAAGAGGCCCTCTTTAACATTCTTGGTTCCCGACCGGCACTTGCGCCATCTCGCTCCCTCTTAGCTGCGGGCTCATCGAAGCAACACCATGCTCCTGAAGATGCCAAACCTGGCCCGGCTAGCCAAAGAGGCTTCTTCCTCGCTTCAGCGGATTCAACTGCTCTCTCCTCTCCGAAAACTGAACACCACAGGCCCTTGCAGTTGCTGCTCTATGAGAGCTCTCAGGATGGGGCCCTCACACACTCACATGTCTCGTCCCCCCTGGACTCAGATCCCTGGACCCAAAAACACTGACTGACACCGCGAGTTTCACAGTGCCAACCGCGCGAACATTTCAGTTCCTGCCACCTACGGCCGGAACCAAAATCTGGGGCCGCAACTGCTGCGGACTCGGCTGCCCTTCGAGCCTTCCTACCCTGACCTATGAAGCCAGAACATCGAGCCCCAACCGCAGTTCAAGACCCTTCCGTGACCTTTGAAGAACTTGCCCATGGCCAAGTAGTCCAACCCATCGGAGCAATTGAAGACAACCTTGCGTGCAGGCTACAGAGGAGCAAGCATGTTTCCTTCGTCAGCGCAGGCTGCGTCCAGGGAGCACATTGGACCGACATCGCTTTGGCCAAGTCCTTCGCGTACAGTAGTCCGAAAGGGCCAGATAGCGGTTTAGCCAGGCGTGAACTCTCACACCACCAGCAATCTGTCCCTCCGTTTCGTCAGACTACTCAGCTACACCCAGTCAGGAACTACGGCATGATACTCACGCGGACTCTCTTGGCATGCGGACCTGTCGTGTCATTCAGGCTCTCTCAAAAATCATTCCTGTCCGTCTGCAGCGAAACAACATAGGCTTTGCCTCAACCCCAGTTGCAAAGAGTCCAGTACCAATATCACCACGGCGAGACAGGGAACAGCGATTCGTTTGGAGGGAGTGTCAACTCAGACACCAGCGAGCAGGTGGCGGATGTTGGCTGGCGACGGCAGAAGACGACATGAAGGCCGAGATTTTCCAGGGAGTGTGAGTTTGCACAAACCAGCCCATGGAATTCAACCAAAGCACGAGCACGAGAGCTGTCGAGGGCAAAAGCTCGTGGGCGTGGTCGCGGCCATCCGGGTCGCAGGGTCCGCACTAGGATGTGAGTCTTTAGGGCATGCACGGCCCAATGACATGAAGGGAAAGCTTGTCCCGCAGTTTTTTGCAGCAGCTTCGTGGTACGAAGGTCGGGCTGTTGGGAGTCTGCTGCATGGACAGCTTTCCGGACGCCTGCTCCAGCCGGCAGTACAGGGCTGGAACTAGGGCAGCCAGTCGCTGTTCGCTAACAATAACAACTCTTTGGAGACTGTTGTTGTTCGAGCTTTGGCGGTCTTCTTGCTAATGCCAGTCTAAGCCCGTACTTCAACCAAACTTCGCCCAGACGTGAATCTCGAAGGCTAGCCCGACATCACGAAAGCATCAATAATGCATTAACGGCAACCTCCAATAAAGTCGTGAACAAACACAAGCATACGAACCGTTGTTTGCAGTCCTTCGTGGACTCTGTCTTGCCAGTGCCTTGGCAGGGCACCAACGAAGATGCAACTGTTTAATCTGAAATTAAACTGACCAGATCCCCATCCGGAAACCCGTCCCGGTGCCTGCAGGCCCTTCTGGGGCACCCCCATAGAAGAGGTGGAAGGCACCCATCAATGTCCTGTAGCACCTCGCGGCATGCCGCGATGGCTACAGAAAGAGCTACCTGCTTGGACTTAGGTGCTGGGTCGGAAACAGGAAACGACGGTAGTGAAATCAGAAGTTTCACTCTGACCTGTCTGTCAGAGGCGTGACGACCAGGCGATCGCTGTTGCCCAGATACTCGAAGCCGTACAGAAGCGTGGCCTGACGATGTGGCCAGTTTGCCCATTGTCGCAAACAAACGACTACCCGGCTTTCTCATGCAGAACGGCCGGCAAAAACGTTCGTACGAATGACATAAGGTTGAGCCGTGTCGAGTCTAAGGCTGACCAATCAAGTCAATGTAGTGTCGCACTCTGCAGCATCACAATGTTTGACGATTCAGTCTTCTAGGCCGGGCCCACAAGTTCTGTGGTGCTCCGTGCGGTCTTGCGGGAGAACAGGCAAGCCCAAGGGCATGGCATTGATGATGGACACCTGGCAGTTGTCCACAGTGCTTGGCCTGAGCACAGTTCCATGCTCTTGTGGTTGACTGGAACCACCGCAAAAACCTGCCATCTCAACTTCCCGTGGACAAGAAAAGCTGCAGGTACCACACTTCCATAAATCAAGGTCGTCTGCAGCCTACAGTTGACTCTCAACAACAAGACTGGTCAATTCGCAGAACCCATGCTACTTTGTGCTGAACCCTACAAGCGTCGGGCTTCTGTGTCTCATACATGATGATGGAACCGGTGGGGGCCTTGGCAGGGAGCATGGACACTTGCCTTTGGCGACTGATGGTGACACGCCCCAAGAGAGCTTGGTGGGTACCCGACACTCAGTCCAGCAGCTCAAGATAATGCGCGGGTACAGTAGGCAGGCTGATCCATCATAGAGCAATCATGTGCTCTCGCGTAAGGCGGGCACCCAGTAGTAGCGCAGCTGTGCCATCCAGTCAAAGTCCTGCAGCAAAAGAGCTGCTCGACTCCATCAAGGATTTATGATATTGGACAATGTAGGTTCCTTAGTATTCACGAGTATAATGGGCCCCAAAACCCTAGTCTAATTATTAAGGCCCCCATATCAGGCGGTCAGTCTCGGATACGCCAGGCGAGGCTCTTTTTCCCAGTCATGACCAGGCTTGTTTCTAGGGGAGGTTTCTTCAAAGTACTGAGACAGAGACATCATCCCTTCCGCCTTATAAACCCGCCCTTCTCCCGCAATATTCAACATGATTTTCGTGAAACATGTTTCGTGTCAGGGGTCCACGCTCCAATAGGTTGAATCTTCTCATTCCTGAGTGTGTTATTCAACATCCTTTGTTTGGTAGGCCAAGAATGCTGCAGTCCTACGTTCCTGCGGCCCCTGCTGGCAGCAGTTCTTGCCGGCATAGGACAACCCTAAACTCTCGGGACAGAGAGGGAAAGGTACTCAACTCACAGGTTCAGTACACACTCGCTTTTGCAATCGTGGGGTTCGCGAACAATCCCGAACCCTGCGAAGCACACAGAGAGGGAGAGAGAGACAGAGAGAGAAAGAGAGAGAGAGAGAGAAAGCTTCGATACTGCTTAACCATAATATAGTCATTTATAGCTATTGCAACAAGTTGCATAGGTCCCCAACCCCTACCCTTCAGCAACATACCCCTACTGGGCCGTATTGTACTGAGCTTGGTTCATCGGAGTTTTCACCGGGTTGCTGCAAGCTGCAGCAAACTACCACAATATGCATGCGGCGCCGCAGGGCTGTAGTTCAGTCTAATTCAGCCGAACAGACTCCAAGACTTTCGTGTGGCTTCAAGCACCAGCCTTCGGCGAAGCGACTTTGGCCTCGCGGAGGCTGCCCACCACGTCCCGATTGTGGACATCAATGGTCACCATAGCCTCTATAACGAATACGGGACTGCAGCGATTTAGGCACGGCGAAGATGATTCAGCACTGCAAAAGTTGCACTTGAGCTCTGGATCCAAGTGCATCCCTACCACATGCTTAGGAGCTTGTGCAGTATACCTCTCCGTTTCTGTCTCCGTCTCTCACATAAACTGAACCTGCGAACCGAGCTGGGCCCGCTGACCGTGAGCGTCTTCCGTTCCAACTTGGAGAGCTCACCGCGGACCAGCTCCACCAGGTCCGCGAGTTGCGACGCGCAGGTCTGCATCAAAGAGCGACTCGCTCGTTTTAGTGTTTCTGCTCTCCCAGCCGTAGCATGGCCAAGACGGAGAGATGACGACAGAGAGAAACAAGGTAGTTCAAGCATATGAACCAATTTTGCCGGCATCATGCCAAGTGTCGCTGGCAAGTCAACAACAAAGTTAAACCACAATTTAAAATGGCACTCGCATCGCACCAGACATGAGGCCGTTGGCGTACAGATTGCCCCGCTAGACACAAAAGTGTCACGGACGTCGTGACCAAGACATCGATCCGGGCGAGCCAGAACACCGATGCAGACACTGAAGTACACTGCACGTGACACTGCCTTACATCTCGAGGCAAACAACACGCCGGAAGACGTAGATACTCGCACGCAACCGACCTGAAATGTACGGAGCACCCAACCAACCCCTGAATCTTAGGCTGTCCAGAGTCGGAGTCCGTCAAAGGGCGAGGCGCACCGAGTAAAGCTTTGACTTAAGGGTTGCTGAGGCGATCAAAGCCGAGGCCGGAAACTCCCGAGCTTCTTGCTGCTCTTTTTGACATATGCGTGCAGCAGATCACCAGCAATCAAGGGTGTGACACGAGCCGTGAATCTTGCCAGATCTTACCCAGCCACTTACCATGCCCAACAGCCAAGAGTCGTGTAAAGATCGTGGCAAAATTGCAAGCATAGCCTAGCATCAAGTGGGTTTGTCAAAGACCCTAGTTAAGTGCCTCTCATGTTCCAACTTTCGGCAGAGGATAATGATGTTGGGCAACTGGTTTGGCTTCAACACTGTCGCCCCCCATACCTGACACTCGAGGCATTAATTGTGAGGGTTGGCGCACACCCCTTGCAGAAAATCGGCGTGGCACCACATTTGCGGGCCTCTCTCCAAATGCAAGATCTGGTGATGACATGGTCCATGGACTTTTCAATTGGCTAGCAGCTCTAGCGCTTTTCAATCAACTTTGTGAAGAGGTATGCTGGCATAAAAGGACTTCACTTGGGTGCTCGGAGGCGAGTTGACTACCCTTGGGTTGAGATTGAGCAGATGCTGACTTGGAGGGAGACCTCGCGAGACATTGTCAGTGCTTTGTGCACACGCACTATTGCATGCATCGGAACACTAGCTATTCCTGCCCCTTGAAGGCATCGTAGTTCACTTTGCCAATCGTGGTGCTTGCAGGTTGCTCGGGCTGCGGCGCTTTCAGAAGTCTGGCTCGTGCCGCACATGCCAACCACTTGCTCACGATGATATGGGTGAAAAAGCCCAGGAAAGCCAGGCCTAAAGCGGCCCAGCCTGCGGGAACAACTACTAGATTCAGGGCTTGGCCGTCTAAGCCACCGAGTTCGAAGGGGTCACCAATCTTGCTGGTGATGCTGAAGCTTCTGAAGCAGAACTGGTCTCCCAAGGAGTAGTCGGCAGCTAGAACAAAGCCCGCCAAGAGCAGGCAAAAGGACGAAAACAACACCATGAGCTTCTGCAGGCAGCCCATATTGCTCCAATTGCAGGTCTCCTGCAAGTCGGGACTGAATGTGGGAGTGAGACTCTGAAGCCTACTGCAGTATCGAACTGCCTTTCGGCCTCTAAGACTCTGAGACTGCGATGTCCTAATTAGGGACGCCCAAGCTTCCGTACAAGTTTTGCTGCACCACAGATCCGAGCTGCAATGCAGCCAGTTCTTGGGGGCCTGGGGGCCCATCGGCACGCCCTCACACAGTTTCGAATCAGCTCAACCCGCGCATGTCATGCTGCAAGGCGTGGGCCAAAGAGGTGGGGAAGGGGAACCTCCTGATCAGTGTCGCATATTTGCGGATCACCTACCGGTCTGGCCTCTAAGGCTACATGGAAGACAGCCTGTGCTACCAAAGGCAGGCTACAGGCTTGTTGAAACCGCCACCTACGGTAGGCCCAAACAACATCATTTCAACATCATGAAAAGTCCAAGACCCTAAGCGCAGAAGCCTTCAGGGCCGCGACGTAGGCTGCCTCCTTCCGGGTGAGCTCTGCAACAGCTTCGTGCTCTGGACGGGGCTGCGCAAGCTTCTCCCCATCCACTTCCACAACCTGTGGGAACAGTCCAACGGGGCTTACTTTTTTGTTCAGGCCGCCCCTGGTGCACATCTACTGTCGTAGTATGGCTTCAGTTGGAGAACAGCTCTCGTCTGCATCTGGCCCTGAATCAAACTTGCATCTCTTGATTTTGCGAGTGGTCAGAATCTCCCTTACCTTCAAGATCCTTTCCCACGAGAACCGAGAGTGAACGTAGAAGAAACGGAGCTGCACACGATGCGTCCGGGATCTCAGGGTGCTCAACAGGTTCGTTGCACATGATGCACTTTACGATTTGTCTCGATCGCATGGGCCCAAGCAGATCTTGCATCTACCGCACCACTGGCGGACCCGATAATGTTATGCTGAAGCAAATACCGACGCCCGAACGTCCTGCCGTCCCCAAAATTGGTGGCAACCTCGCTGCCGCGGAACCTTCATGATGCGGTAGCTGAAGAAGAACATCTCGGAGGCTTGCACCGTGGCAGCTGCGAGAGTCACGGCGCTAGAGACCATGGGCATGATGCCCGAGGTGTCGCCTGCAACGCAGCAACTTGAAACGGTTCGAACGCCTTGAGGCGAGAGGGTGCCTAATTTGAACCCAAAACCATCCAAAACCCACAGGAGCCGCCTGTAAATGTCAGGAGCGCTCCCACCAAGCACTGCGGAATGATGCTCACGAAGATGACAGGGGTGGTCCCAAGCCTTCGGCAAAAACACACTCGGCCCCACTCTGCAGCTCATATCTGCGAAAATCTTGTGCTGAAAAGACCTCAAACCCCAGTGAAGCCAAGACGCAGCATCTGAGGGATTCTGAGGCGGAGGATACCACACAGAACCTGGGCAATAGAGAGGCAACGGCCCCTGAAGCACAAAGGCATGTCTGTCCCATCACGACCGCCCACTTGAGTCTTTCTTTGGGCATGACCTGCGCTGCACCGATTAGGGTTTATGGTTTAGGGTTTAGGGCCAGGTGTACCGTGAAAAAGCAGGTCAACGACATTAAAGGCTTGGAGATCAGGCGAGACATGTTTGAGGTTTGGGGCAGGGTCCTACGAAAACTACACTGATGTTCTTGCAACTAAGGGGCGCTTGTCGGCCAGTCTGGCCCCCCCACAAGGATGGCCACTTTGTCAATTTTAAGACCATCCTGCTTCAAAATCTGCTCCATCGCACGGGTGGGCACCTTGTCCACGCCGACAAACCTCAACAGCCACGAAGTGCATGCATTGGGAACGCCCTGCCGTATTGAATGCACTTCAGGCGCAGAGTCTGCAATCATGTCAACTAAACGAACCATCTCATCATGCGAGGCTTCTTAGCAAACGCCACAACACCCCGGCTCAGGGTACCTTTCTCTTCTTTTGCTTATTCTAAGCAAAGCTACACCTCCCTCATCCTTGACATGAACAACCACTGGAAGGGGGCGGGTTCTTTCATCTAAATGAGCAAATCCCAAATAATGGCGCAGAGCTCCGACAGGGCCCTTAGCCTGCTAGGTGAGTGGCTGCTGCACCTTTACCGACTGGCCCGCTGCGTAGCCCATCGCGTACTGTAAGCAGCAAGCCATCAGCTTCGCGCACGAGCATACCTGAGCTCTGCACGGGGAACTTGAGCGCCACTCCTCAAAACCCCTCCAGCTCCACCGACTTCTACCAGGAGACACGAGAAGCAGGTCCAGACCCCGGCAGTCCCAGATCAAAAGAAGAAATCTGGAAGATCCCGGACACCTGGGTGCTTGCCGCCCCTCAATCCCCAAACCCTGCTGCTCCAGCCGCGGTGCCACAGCGGCAACAGCTACACCTGCAGGGAAGCCGATGGAGCCAGCCAGCTGCGACTGGGCGCCGCAGACCACGCCTACCAGAGTTTCGGGGCTTCGTGCAAGTACGACTTGTGGTGGCTGCAAGGACTGTTGTCGAGAAGAGATTCAAAGGTCAACCCAAAAGAGCTCAAGGTAAAGGCGCACGGCGCTGGAACAAGCTGCGTGTAGCATTTTTGCACGATTCCGAATCCATGGGTGGTGCCTGCTACCGATACGATTCGCCTCACGATCCTCACGTCAGCGACGACTTGTGCAAGGCACCGCCTTTTGGTCTGTTCGACATGGGGGGTTGCCAGTCTGACTATGCCGTGGCCTGCGAAAAGGTACACCGCGCTGCCCGGGACGATCGGACACAGGAACCTGCAAGCAAATTCAGGGAAAAATCAAACACGGGATTGGAGTTTCTGTTTAATGCTAACATACCTGAAGCTTTCTTAGGAGCCCCAGCCCTTTGAGCCTTGAGGCTCCCAGGTTCGTAGAGCTTGAAACTTTTTTTGAACAAACTATATGACTACCAGGATGAAACGTCTTACCTTAAGTTCCCAAGCATACATATGCAGCTTTACTGTCAGGTGATCACTAACATCATGACAGCATCGGCATCGCCCCTGAGAGAATGCACCTCCGCATATAACAGAATCGGCCAGCGGTAGAACCAGACAGCCCGTTTTGAGGTGATCACTTTCATAAATTCGGACCTGTGTTTGATCAAGGATTAAACGGCTGGTCTCTGACAATCAAAATACCATTGCAGCCTGCTGCCTTACTGTGCCATGCTGACTGCTTTAAGACTTACAAAGTCTTGAACCCGTCTCAGCGAGGAGGACTCACAGATCTCGGGATTTCATCCAAACCAAAGCATATCCTCAGCCCTCGTGCGCTCTTCATCAACAGAGGGCAAGGTGCATGGCCAAGCCAACTCCCCAGACCAGCAGGGAGAGGACCAGGAAGTTTAAGTTCATGGCAGCCAGCCTTAGAACTTCCAGGGAAGTTCACCCCTCAGCTCCGCACTCTGCTGACGCCTCTCTGAGCAAGACTCATTTACCCCTCCCATATGAAAAGGAGCAAGACGAGGAAGTCTCAAGAAAGTCGTGTTGGATCAAAGGCACGTCTCGTTCAGCCAGGAAAAGAACACGT